ACGGCCTCAAAGCTGCTGCCAGGCCCCTAATCTGCCATGGGCCCCTATATACCCGCCCTTCACACTGCTGGTGTGTTAAATTTTTTGACATAGGGTGCAGGCAGATTACGGGCCTCACATAGCTGCTGCCAGGCCCCTAATCTGCCATGGGCCCCTATATACCGCCTCCTCATGCTGCTGCCAAGTCTAGAGTCTCTCATGGGTCCCTGTACGGCCTCCCATTGCTGCTGTCTCCATCGCCACACACTCTCTGCCATGTGCCACTTTCAGGTCTCTTCACACTGCTGGTGTGTTTAATTTTTTGACATAGGGTGCAGGCAGATTACGGGCCTCACATAGCTGCTGCCAGGCCCCTAATCTGCCATGGGCCCCTATATACCGCCTCCTCATGCTGCTGCCAAGTCTAGAGTCTGTCATGGGTCCCTGTACGGCCTCCCATTGCTGCTGTCTCCATCGCCACACACTGCTGCCATGTGCCACTTTCAGGTCTCTTCACACTGCTGGTGTGTTAATTTTTTGACATAGGGTGCAGGCAGATTACGGGCCTCACATAGCTGCTGCCAGGCCCCTAATCTGCCATGGGCCCCTATATACCGCCTCCTCATGCTGCTGCCAAGTCCAGAGTCTCTCATGGGTCCCTGTACGGCCTCCCATTGCTGCTGTCTCCATCGCCACACTCTGCTGCCATGTGCCACTTTCAGGTCTCTTCACACTGCTGGTGTGTTTAATTTTTTTGACATAGGGTGCAGGCAGATTACGGGCCTCACATAGCTGCTGCCAGGCCCCTAATCTGCCATGGGCCCCTATATACCGCCTCCTCATGCTGCTGCCAAGTCTAGAGTCTCTCATGGGTCCCTGTACGGCCTCCTCCCATTGCTGCTGTCTCCATCGCCACACTCTGCTGCCATGTGCCACTTTCAGGTCTCTTCACACTGCTGGTGTGTTTAATTTTTTGACATAGGGTGCAGGCAGATTACGGGCCTCACATAGCTGCTGCCAGGCCCCTAATCTGCCATGGGCCCCTATATACCGCCTCCTCATGCTGCTGCCAAGTCCAGAGTCTGTCATGGGTCCCTGTACGGCCTCCCATTGCTGCTGTCTCCATCGCCACACTCTGCTGCCATGTGCCACTTTCAGGTCTCTTCACACTGCTGGTGTGTTAATTTTTTGACATAGGGTGCAGGCAGATTACGGGCCTCACATAGCTGCTGCCAGGCCCCTAATCTGCCATGGGCCCCCTATATACCGCCTCCTCATGCTGCTGCCAAGTCCAGAGTCTGTCATGGGTCCCTGTACGGCCTCCCATTGCTGCTGTCTCCATCGCCACACTCTGCTGCCATGTGCCACTTTCAGGTCTCTTCACACTGCTGGTGTGTTTAAATTTTTTGACATAGGGTGCAGGCAGATTACGGGCCTCACATAGCTGCTGCCAGGCCCCTAATCTGCCATGGGCCCCTATATACCGCCTCCTCATGCTGCTGCCAAGTCTAGAGTCTCTCATGGGTCCCTGTACGGCCTCCCATTGCTGCTGTCTCCATCGCCACACTCTGCTGCATGTGCCACTTTCAGGTCTCTTCACACACTGCTGGTGTGTTTTAATTTTTTTGACATAGGGTGCAGGCAGATTACGGGCCTCACATAGCTGCGCTGCTGCCAGGCCCCTAATCTGCCATGGGCCCCTATATACCGCCTCCTCCTCATGCTGCTGCCAAGTTGGCCCCCCGTACCGACTCCTCATGCTGTGACGTTGCAACAAGGTGTAATTCCAACCCTACATATGTTAGACCCCTTTACGAACAGCTAAAGGCCATCACAGGATTTCCTGATGTTAAAAGCGGATAAAGGTACTCCCATGTGTAACTTAGATGTCAGCCAAATTGGCAGCTCATGCGTGACACACCTGCGCTTGCTCAGGCCCTGTCCCAAGTTGAGGAGGCCACGCTATTCGTGATCGGCACCGACTATGGGATGAAAGAGGTCATAAATCGTCATGGGCCCCCGTACCGCCTGTTTTCACCGAATTGCTGCTGCCAGGTCCCCACAGTGTGTTCCTGGGACCTGGGTCCCTGTACCGCCTCATCCCATTTGCTTCCACTCTCTGCCATGTGCCACTTTGAAATCTCCTCACACTCCTGCGGTTGTCCATTTTGTCATAGGTTGCTGGCAGATTACAGGCCTTCCATAGGTGCCACCAGCCCCATATCGGCCATGGGCCCCCGTACCGCCTGGTCACGCTCGCTGCTGCTGGCCCACATAGTGTGACCTGGGTCCCTGTACCGCCTCCCATTGCTCCCACTCTGCCATGTGCCACTTTCAGGTCTCCTCACACTCCTGCTGGTTTCCATTTTGTCATAGGTTGCTGTATGGCCTCCCATTGCTGCTGCCTCCACCGCCACACTGTGGCTCCAAACACTGGTTTTGGCCCCGTGACTGGCCAAAGGAGTGAAGTGTGCAGTGATTCTAAGATCGACGGCACTCATCTGCATGTCATACTGACAGACAGTATTATTTCTCTTCCCCAGCAGACTCCAAGGGCATTTAAATTAAAGGTACAGTGTTCTGCACTAATATTAAGTCTCTCTGAAGCCTAGAAACACCCTTTTTTAAGTTAAATTCACAGCGAATTTATTCGACTCGAATCGAATAATTGTCCACGAATTCGCCGAATCAGTCGAATCGAATTTTTCATTTCTTTCGTCATCTCTAATGATAACTATTCACAAATCGTGGAGCTAAAGTTTGTAGCATATTGAATAGTGTACTGTAAGCCCTTTATCCCAAAATCTTTTGTAAGGTAGGTCATAGATCCATATAATGGATACGCCTCCCGATTATGCTAATATCAAGTACATTGAGAAAGGTACATAGTTTATAAAAAGGTAACACACCACAATCTTAAATTCATTATCTTAGTTTGGTTTATTGTCACTTTACCCATTCTATTTCATGTTATCTTTTTACTATATCCTTCCCATTGTTACATTGTTTATAGTCTTTCTATGGCATAGCTGTTCCTCCAATTAACAACAACTGTGACCAGGACAGACTTCTGAAGACACTTATTTCATATTGCTCCGCATATATTTCTTTGCAATGCTTCACAGCACTAGAATGTATAAATCTGACTGATGTTTACCAGAAATAAAAATGTAATGTATTAAAACAGGTCAGATTTTTTTAGATCTGGAACTCCATGTTAAAGGTGAATTATAGGTTCTTTGTATATCCTTCTAATGTTGTTAGAAGGTGGTTGAAGACCATACTTTTTCATTCAGTCTTAAATGCTTACATACCCAGTTTTAGATAGTGGACAACCTATGAAACAGGACTTTGAATTCTAGCCATGTATTCATATACAAGTTTTAACCCACAAATTAATATTATATTTGTCACACAAATTCAAAACTAGTATATATATAGTTTGGAAGTTTGGAATGCCCTGGGACACTCAAAATTTTGTGATTTTGATGATGTTTCAGCCTATCACTATGGATCGATGATTTCATCTGGCTGGCGGATCGATAATTTCACCTGGCTGGCAGATATTGATATCTTTGGTCGAGGGGTCCCCTCTATCTATGTCTGTATAAGATGCGCGTGTCATTTCATTTGCCTTATAAGAAGTCACTAGTATCACCAACTAGTAAATGCTAATACTGTTTGTGTCATTTCTATTATTATAACTTGTTATGTACTTATGTCTTATATCTGTGGCCTACTTTTTTTTATATAATTTCAGAAGTATATGCTTTGTCTCCCTGAAGAAATGAGTCGGAGCAATTTACAAAGTATTAATCTGGGAAAGGCTGTGTTATTTAGCTGTATGTGCAATTAAGAGCAACTAAACCCAGCATCAATCTATGAAAGGTTATGTCAATTTGTTGTATGTGCCAGTAGGCCATTTCTTGCATTTCTTGTTTGACAATTTTGTCCCAAGCATGTTATGCTTTTTAAACGAACATGTGTATGTAATGTTCCACCATTTTGATGGCTCATTTTCATTGATAAAGTGGTAATTGTTATACAAATTTTGATTTTCTATTGTTCGGTATGGTACCTTCAAAACCCCATTCGTTTTTTTCTAGTTAGGGCCCCTATTTGCAGTGTCTCATTAATAATGGGTGTGGTACCAGTAAATCCTTCCAGCAAGGACTAGGAGACCATTTAGGTTTCCATCTCCCACTCTATTCTCTTCAATCATGCTGTGGGGATGTTTTTCAGTGGCAGGAACTGAGAGACTAGTCAAGATCGAAGGAAAGATGAATGCAGCAATGTACAGAGACAAGTGAAACTTTTTACCTCCCGCATTTGACCAGCACTCCGCCCACCCTCTTAATATGCCACCTGTACTCCTCCTCCTCGTACTCCTCTCCTCCATTCACAAAATCTCCTCCCTCTTACACCCCCTAAACCCCCCATCTAAAACAACTTTACATTGGACCCTCACTACTTCCCTCTCCCCACTATGCTTCTCACCACCTCCTCCTCATACTCCCTTCACTCTCCCCCACCGACCCACATGCCACCACTAACAGACCCACACGCTCTTGCACATCCAGCTCCCATGCCACCTTTCTCACCCTCCTTCTCCTCCTCAACGCTGGGGACATCTCCCCGAACCCTGGCCCCTCACCACCTCACTCACCCACTAGGCACCCTCCTACTAACACAAAACTGCTGCAACCCCCTCAACCTTATACCTGTGCCCCTCCTCCCCACACCCACCCCCTCCACTCTCGGTTGCACTCCTGAACGCCCGATCGGTGTGCAACAAGCTCACTGCCATCCATGACCTCTTTATCTCAACCTCCTAGCGGTCACCGAAACCTGGATCCAAGCCACTGACTCCACCTCCCCTGTGGCACTCTCCTATGGAGATCTCGTCTGGTCCCATTCACCCAGACCGAGCGGTCGTAGAGGTGGTGGGGTCGGCATGCTCTTGTCACCGCTGAGCAACTTCCAGGTCCTCCCAAACCCCCCCTCTCTATCCTTCTCCGCCTTCGAGGCCACTGCATCCGACTCTTTTCCCCACCGCTCTGAGGATTGCAGTAATCTATCGGCCCCCTGGAAATCCGTATCACGCTTCCTTGATGACTTTTCCGCTTGGCTGCCCTTCTTCCTTTCCTCTGAGCTACCCACCATCATCCTTGGTGACTTCAATATCCCTCTCAATGTCAACAACCCGGCTACATCCAAACTCCTCCACTTAACCTCTTCGTTTGCACTCACACAGTGCACACAGTCCCCACCCACACCGACGGGAACACCCTTTTCCCTCTCTCTGACCACAACCTCATTACCTTCTCCATCTCCCCGTCCTCTAACACCTCCCGCCCAAACATGTCAAACCTTCACAGCCGTAACCTCCACAACCTGAACCCAGCCCCTCTCCACTCT